AAAAAAAAAAAAAAAAAAAAAAAAGAAATACGAAATTACTTATTATAAAAGTATATAAAAAAAATCTTATGAACAATCGCGAAATTATTCCATAGACGTATCAATTGATATTCACGATGCTCACCTTGGTTCACAGTGTGCTATCCGAAAATCGAAGTTGATCCGCGTGACGAACATGTCGGTTTCGAGGCGAATTTCGTGCACACTTGGCGGAGGAAGTGCGATCGCCAGGCCAACCATGCCTATTAACGGTGGCGCGGACTTTCTTGTATGGCTAAACGTATACTGCGGTCTCAAACGGCACAGTAACAACACGACCTGAATTCATAATCGTTTATTAACATCTCTGGTTTCGTTAATTGAACGCGATTGATTTACGAAACGTTAAATCGATTGAACTGAAAATCGATAGGATTCGATTAAATATAAATTATGATAAATTGATGATTTCTATTTTTCTATTTAGAAGATTCTAAACTTTATTTTTTTAATTTTCAGGGAAAAACTTTTTTAAAATATGAGAAGGAAGAATACACACCCTATAACCAGAAGATTTAAAATGACATCCCCTCTTCGTTAGGGTGGATTTCATCCGGACGCAGAACGCTCTGTCGTATCCTTTGTAGAGATTATTCGCTGATAACGACATTACTGAGGATACTATAAACGATAATGCAAATTATGTCTAAATTGTTAATTTCGATATTATAAAAAAAAAAAATTGTTTAAACAACGAACAGACATTTCTTGTTCTTGCTTCTGTGAGAACTTCATTCTTTATACGTCACACGAAGAATTCACAATCTATTCAAGATTCATTAACTTTACTACTCGAAGTTTATCAACGAACGATCATGACGCGAAACGATCTCATCGTGATTCTCGAGGCGCATCGTACAAACAAAAGACGTAGAAATTTACCGTCGGGATTCGCTGTGGAGGAAGATCCATGTTCTTCGGATGCCGCGCTACTCGGCGATGCTAGGCCAGAGCTGGATGAATGTGGACCGGAAGAGGCGCTCGATGTCAACCCGAGGCCCAATTGTTCTGCTACTTCCGCGTGGTCTTGCTGATGAACGTAATCGAAAACGCTTGAACCCGTCATCTCTACCTGGAAATTCCAGAAAATTTTTTTCGATTCAAATGCTTTTTCGTAAGTAAAAGTACGTTTTATTTCTTAAAAATATTTTTTTTTTATTATTAATATTTTCT